AAAAGTATTAATGCTCACATGTGATCAATTTTATGCATGTTCTGAATAAAACTATTAATTTCTTTAAAAAAACGCACTGACCCAAAATTAAACTTGTAAACTTAATTATATATTAAATATTATATTATATTATATTATATTATTATTATGTTTGTCTCTCCCCTGTCTTTTGTGTATTTATTAATTAATTAATGTATTTATTTATTTATTTTGTACAATAAATTGCATATTAATTGAGTGTGTCTTGCGATCATCCGCAGGCCTACACTAGTCAGTTTGTGTCTCTGATCATGTTTGGCCTGATGATGAGTGAAGACAGGCTTTCAATGCAGCAGAGAAGACTGGAGATCATCAACGGACTCAAAAAACTGCCAGGTGTATATTTGACATAATTGCTGTAATGAACTCTGTATTTTTTGCAATAGTTAAATAGTGCTTTGAGATAAAAATTAACTTTGACATTGTCTTCCATTCAGAGCTGATCAAGGAAGTTCTGGCTCTTGATGACCAAATCAAAAGCATTGCAGATGAGCTCCACCATCAGAGGTCTCTATTGGTCATGGGTCGAGGCTATAACTATGCCACCTGCCTAGAGGGGGCACTGGTGAGTATGGTGAAATGTATAGTTGGAGCAGTATAACTGAGCATATAATCAGGTGCTTTGTGTAGTCATTTACACTTTCATGGTCTTTGTGCCCTGTAGAAAATTAAAGAGATCACATACATGCACTCAGAGGGCATTCTGGCTGGAGAGTTGAAGCATGGCCCATTGGCGTTGATTGACAAGCATATGCCGGTCATCATGGTCATCATGAGAGATGCTTGCTACAAAAAGTGCCACAATGCCTTGGAACAGGTCACAGCCAGACAGGTAACAATCATCACATGTATTCTGAAATATGTCCAATTATTCAACACTTTATGATGACTCATATCTTGTCTATATCTTTTAGGGCCGCCCCATCATCCTATGTTGCCAGGATGACCCAGAGATCAGCAAAATGGCATATAAGACCATTGAACTGCCTCACACAGTGGACTGTCTGCAGGGCATCATCAGTGTCATTCCACTGCAGCTCATATCCTTCCATCTGGCTGTTCTCAGAGGATATGATGTACGTTTACCTTTCCTTTATTATTTATTTATTCATTTATTAAATGGTTTATATAAAAAAAAAAACTGGCAGTGTCCCACTAACTGGTGTAAAACAACTCGATTTTGGAAAGAATATCAGAAGTATGCAGAAGTACAGTCTGCAGTTTTCACAAAAGCCCTGGAGCTGTCAAAAGTCTGCAGAATGATGTGTTTTGCGTCATTCAGTGGAATTTGCTGACAAATAAACAGGGATATCTTGATGCATGTCACACAGAGAAGTACACATTGTTTATTTACATATACAGTGCCGTGAAAAGATTTTTCCCCCTTCCTGTTTTTTTTTTATTTTTTGCATATTTGTCACACTTAAAAGATTCAGATCATAAAACATTTTTTATATTACACAAAGATAACGCAAGTAAATACAAAATGCCGTTTTAAAATAATGATTTCATTGATTAAGGGAAAAAAGCTGTCCAAACCTGCCTGGCACTACGTGAAAAAAAAAAGCTGTCCAAACCTGCCTGGCCCTACGTGAAAAAGTAATTGCCCCCTAAATCTAATAACTGGTTGCGCCACGCTTTGCAGCAACAACTGCAATCAAGTGTTTGCGATAACTGGCAATGAGTCTTTCACATTGCTGTGGATGAATTTTGGCCCACTCTTCTTTGCAGAATTGTTTTAATTCAGCCACATTGGAGGGTTTTCGAGCATGAAAGGACTCTTTAACTCTGCCACAGCATCTCAGTCGGATTTAAGTCCGGATTTTGACTTGGCCACTCCAAAACCTTAATTTGCTGTGTTGGTTTTACGCCACATGTAACGGGACACACACCTTCCAAAAAGTTCAACAGACACACACCTTCCAAAAAGTTCAACTTTTGTTGCATCAGTCCACAGAATATTTGCCCAAAAGTCTTGGAGATAATCATGATATTTTTTGGCAAATGTGAGACGAGCCTTTGTGTTTTTTTTGGTCAGCAGTGGCTTTTGCCTGGGAACTCTCCCATGAATGCCGTTTTTGCCCCGCCTCTTTCTTATTGTTGAATCATGAACACTGACCTTAATTGAGGCAAGTGAGGCCTGCAGTTCTTTCGATGTTGTTCTGGGTTCTTTTATGACCTCTTGGATGAGTCGTCGTTGCGCTCTTGGAGTAATTTTGGTCGGCCGGCCACTGCTGGGTAGTTTCACCACTGTTCCATGTTTTCTCCATTTGTGGATAATGGCTCTGACCGCGGTTCACTGGAGTCCCAAAGCCTTAGAAATGGCTTTATAACCCTTTCCAGACTGATACATGTCAACTA